AAAAAAAAAAAAAAAAGCAAGCTTCTGGAGATAAATACTAACAGAAGAAAACAGAGAGATGGAGCAGAATGATAAGAAACACAGTTGAGACTGCTGGGTCCCCCAATATCTACCCTTCCGTTTAGTGATGGAACTGTAGAGTTCAGCTTGCACATGGCTTCCCAGGACAATGGGGACTTTTCCTAGCTTCCCTGCAACTGGGTGTGGCCATGTGGCTGAGTTTTAGCCAACTGGACACAAGCGGAGTGAGATTTGCCAATTTCAGGTCATGCCCTTTTCCCTTCTGTGTGGCTGGAATATGGATACCACAGTGGGAGCCAAGAGCAGCCTCCTTAGACCAGGAGGCAGAAACCCTGTATTGAGGGTAACAGAGCAATGAGAAAGGTGTCTGGGTCCCCAACACAATGGGGCCTCCATGCACATACTGGACAGCTTGCACAGAGGCTTTCATGCAATGGGTAAAAGTAATCTATTTTATTATCTTAGCCTTTGTTTCAACAGCTAAGCCCAAATCCCAGTGAATATAAAGGTACTACTTGGACTGGGTGGTCAGACAAGGTGACATTTGAACTGAGATCTCAATAAATAAACAGGAGCCAGCCTTGGAAAGATCGAAATAAAGAACATTGCAGGGAGAGAAAGCAAATGCACATGTCCAGAGGTAGAAACAGGCTTAGCCTGTCCCAAGGGCAAAAAACAGTCAGGGTAGCTGATACCAGAAAGGTTGGCAGGGCCAGGTCCCACATGCAATTTAATCTAAGTGCAACCAGAAGGGTGTTACGAGGAGTGTGGCGTCTAGTTTCCATGGGGACAGGATGGCTGGGCTGCCAGTGAGAAGGGGCTGAAGTGGAGGAGGCGCAGAGACAGGGAGGCCAGGAGGAGCTCCGGCAACAGTCCAGGCAAGAGAAGACAGACAGAGGCTTACGCTAGTGGCAGCAGCAGGGGTGAAAAAGACAGATTTGGGAGACCTTTGGGAGGCTCAGCCAACAAGACCCACTGACAAATCAAACACAGGGAATGAGACAAGAGGCCAAAGAAGGCTGATGGTGTAGTTGGGCCTGAGCCACTGGGCATTTTGCAACTTAGGCCAACACTATCCACCAGACACTGTCCCCTTCTTCCTCACTTACAAGCTACTATTTTGTTTAGGATCCCTCTATAAAGCCTAGTGTTCAAGCAGGGGCCCCTCCCCAGCACCAGAAGCTGAGTCTCAATTAATTTCAGCCAGTGGTCTCTGGGGTGGAGCCAGCGTGGAGCGCTGCTCTAGTTTGACATGGCAACTGCAAGGGAGCAGAGGGCTGTAGATTTTTTTCGTGCGCAGAGTCCAGGGCTGCCAAATGTCTGCAATGCATAGGACAGTCCACCAGATGAGTAACTGTCTGCCCTTACAGCTAGCATGCCCTGCAGAGTGACTCTGGTCAAAGTCCAGAAGGGTGGCCCTTCTGCTCCTGACCAGTGGCTGGTTGAGGCAAAGGCATTTGCTGCCTCATGGGGAGATCTGTGTCTGTGTGGGGCAGTAGAAGGCATGGTGTCCAGAACAGTGCCTTCCTGCAGCCCAGAGGGCTGGGCCACCACACTGAGCATAGGGGAGCTTATAGCTGGAAGCGGGTATGCAGCTCTCTTCTTGCGTGACTTCTGGTGTCATGATATCATAACTTGTAACTTTGAGTTGAGAGTATCAGTCACCCAATGAAGGAGCGAGATTCTACAGCCCTCTCCTCCCCACCCCTATTATTTTATTAAATTGTTTTTGAGACAGAGTCTAGCTCTGTTGCCCGGGCTGGAGTGCAGTGATGCGTTCTCTGCTCACTGCAACCTCTGCCTCCCAAGTTCAGCCTCCCAGGTTCAAACGATCCTCCCACCTCAGCCTCCCAAGTAGCTAGGATCACAACTGTGTACCACCACACCCAGCTAAGTTTTGAATTTTTAGCAGAGACAGGGTTTTGCCATGTTGGCCAGTCTGGTCTAGAACTCCTGACTTCAAGTGATCCGCCTGCCTCAGCCTCCCAAAGTGCTGGGATTACAGGTACAAGCCGCCATGCCAGGCTATCCCCACCCCTATTATAAAGCCAAACCAGGCAGAGCAAATGCCTGGTCCTAGCAGCCCAATGCCAGCTCTGACCCAGGACAGAATGTCATGCAGCCCCAGGACAGGCAGGGCCAGGGTGTAGGCCAGGCACCCAGCAGCCACCAGGAAGCTGAGAGGCCTACTGTGGCAGAGAAGGCAGTGGGGAGGAACAGGGGCAGGGAGGAGGAGAGTGGGGGAAGTCAGGCCGAGTCCAGGGTATGGAGGGCAGAGTGGGCTTCTCCTGGTTTTGCCTGCCCAGCATGCAGGCTCTTGCCAGTTGCTAAGAGCACCATTTTCCTGAGGGGGAATCTCAGCTCCTAGACTCTTTGGAAGTTTAAAGATGTCTGACTCCACCTCTTCACCACCCAGGGAATGCAACTGTGATCTAAGCCTGGTCCGTCAGGATGTTCCATCACCTGGCCAATGAAAATCTGCCCTGAGACTTTTGCTCTAAATTATTATAATTATTAGAGCAAAAGTCTCAGGGCAGATTCTCACTGACAACTGAGGAAACACTCTCTGCTGAGCTCAGTAAGTCAGAGCTGTACCACCTAGACCTTACACTCACAGGCTCGCCTGAGAGTACAGCTAACACAGAGGAGTACAGAGCTGAGACATGGATGGAGACAGATCTTGATGAGCTCACTGGAGCCCCCAGATTCTGCCACACCTAAAGCCAGTCCTACCCCCTTGGACTTTTCAGTTGTAAAACCCAACAAATCCCCTTTTCTGCTTAGGCCAGTTTGAGTCTGACTTCTCTAATTCATCACTGAAAAACCTCCAGCCAACACAGGTTATGGAGTCAGGCAGACGGGGCTGCACTGCTGGTTCTGCCACGTGCTTGCTGTGTGACCTGGGGTGAGTCACTCCCCCTGCAAGTATCGTGGGGACAACAACACCTGCCTAAAAAGGTTGTCATAAGAATCAAGCAAAACCAGGAAGGTAAATGTCTACAAAAGTGATATGTGTACAAAGGTGATTGCTGCTTTTCTTTCTTTTTTGAGATGGAGTCTTGCTCTGTCACCAGGCTGGAGCACAGCGGCATGATCTCGGCTCACTGCAACCTCTGCCTCCCGGGTTCAAGCAATTCCCCTGCCTCAGCCTCCCAGGTAGCTGGGATTATAGGCAACTGCCACCATGCCCAGTGGAATTTTTTTTTGTTGTTGTTTTTTTAGTAGAGACAGGGTTTCACCATGTTGTCCAGGCTGGTCTCGATCTCTTGACCCCATGATCCACCTGTCTCGGCCTCCCAAAGTGCTGGGATTACAGATGGTAGCCAATGTGCCCAGCCTGGTTGCTGCTTTTCTTACCAGAGGAGGGGCTGAAGGGCAAGGAAGGGAAAGGAATTTGTTCCCAGGCCCATGGACCCCTCTGGAAGCCCCCATTGCTATGGGGTCTGAGGAGAGGCAGAGGAGGTGTTAGCTGCTCTCCCTGCCCCTACTTCCCTGACAACAACATAGCAACCTCTGCGCCCAACCTCTGTGCTCTGGCCTCCAGCCCTGGGAGGGAGGTACTTATGCACTGTGCACGTGGAGCTCGGAGAGGCAGCCACTTGCCAGGCCCGCAATCCAGGCTGTCTGTCTCCAGAGCCCAGGCCCCCGGTCAACAACTTGCCAGGTGCCCCTCTCTGGGCCTCAGTTTCTCCAGCTGTGGGTCAAGAGCACCAGGCTTGTTCTAGAGCTGTCTTCTCAGACCTGATGTGGGAACCACCCTGGTGTATTTAACATGCAGATGCTGCTCCCAAGGGCAGAGGCAGGGCTGACAGTCTGTGTTTCCCACAGGCTCCCAGGTGCTGTCCCTGCTGCTGCTGCTTGGTTCAGCAACCACACTGGAGTTATGGGGCTGCTGGCCATACCAGCATTGCCATTATGAATCAAAGCTTATGAAATAACTGAAGCACTGGCTTTTTTTTTTTTTTTAAACAGTCTTGCTCTGTTGCCCAGGCTGGAGTGCAATGGCACAATCTCGGCTCACTGCAACCTTCACCTCCTGGGTTTGAGCAATTCTCCTGCCTCAGCCTCCTAAGTAGCTGAAATTACAGGTGTGTGCCATTACATCCAGCTAATTTTTGTATTTTCAGTAGAGATGGGGTTTCGCCATGTTGGTCAGGCTTATCTCAAACTCCTGACCTCAGATGGTCCACCGGCCTTGGTCTCCCAAAGTGCTAGGATTACACGTGTGAGCCCCCTGCCTGGCCAGCACTGATTTTTAATTAACAGGATGCACACTTCCTATGTGCAGACACGGTGCTCAGTGCTTTACACGTGGTGACACACTTAACCATGGCACTGAGTTCTAGGGAGAGAGGACAATTACTGCCACCTTGTACAGAGAAGAGGAGAGGCAGAGAAGGAGTCAGTCCTCAGCCTTCTCTGCTTAGTTCTTAGACAGCTGCTCCCAAGTACTGACAAGGAAGTGGGAGGGGTTGGTCAGCTCATGAAAGGGGCCTGAGGGCGGTGAGAAGGGGTGAAGCCCTGGGGTGATTCTCAGAGGAGGAATTCCTAGGATGCAGAGCGCCCTGGGCAACCCCGGGCCTCCCAGGACCAAGGAAACTGGGACAGCCTGTTTCTTCCACCTGGGAGGAGTCTCCCAGCCTCACAACATTCCAGGGGCCTCTGCCTCCCCCACCTCCCACCGGACTGGGGGACAGGATGCTGACTAGGCTCAGGTTGTGTTCACGCAATGCAGGGCCTGCTGAGAGCGCCCGGACAAGGCCTTTTCTCTCCTCTCTGGGACTCAGCTTACCCTGATCTCATCAGTGCAATAGGATTCACCAGACCCCACCCACTGCTACCGAATGGGAAACGCTGGGGGAGCGGCGCCCTCAATGCTTCCCACCCCATCGGGTTTCAAATACTGGAGCAAGGACGTGGTAGGGAAGGTTCCACAGGGCAGAGGCCAAATTACTTTGCTCTCCTGCATTGTCCTTCGGCCTTGAGGCTGGCAGGCCTACGGTCCCTGTCCTAAGCCAGAGTCCCCAACAGAAAGGGGAAGCTTGGGTCCAGTCTGACCTGCCCCCTGCCCTGCCTCGTTGCCCTCCACCTGCTAGGCTGGTCCGTTCCTCAGGGCTTTGGTGCTGGCTCTTCCCCAGCTCTCTCCTGCCACCTCCTCTGAGAAGTCCTCCCTCCTCAGCTGTCTCCAGTGCCCGAGCAGGATTTGGGTGTTTAACTACTCTCTACCCCGGGAGTGCTCAGGACCCGGTCCCCTAGAAAACGGTCTGACACGACAAGAGCCCTCAACAGGTTAGGATGGGAACAACTGAATCTCCAGCACCGCCAAGCCCCGCTGGGGACTGGACGACCCCGCAGCCCCTCCTCACAGCAGAGCAGTGAGGCAGTGGGGCAAAGCCAGCCCCCAACCGCCTTCCCCGAATCCAGGGGGAGCAGGGGCCTTGAGACGGCCTCGCGGGGCAGCAAGGCCCCGAACCCGCGGCAGGCTCGGCTCAGGAGCACCTCCGCTGCTGCGGACGCCCACCGTGGGGCTGGGGCCCGTGTCGCTACCCCGCGTCCGACCGGGTCGCCGAGGCCCGGATCTCCGCCCCCCACTGCCTCCAACCCAGGCCGGCCCGACGCCGCTGCGTGCTGCCTGCTCCCAGGCCTCGGGTGTCCCCGCTCCCCGAGCGATCCCCGACTGCCCAGCGCTCCTCCCAGGGCCTTCCCTCCCAAACGCTGCCTCGGCCATCCGAGCTGCGCCCGAGCGGGAAGGGGCCGCTCGCGGAGCAAGGAGGGGACGGCAGCGGGGTTTCCCGCCGGGGCGAGCGACGGGACTCCCCCACTAGCTGCGGCAAGAGACGGGGAGAAGGCCCCTCCTTACCTGAGATCCCGGGCCGCCCATCCGCCGCCGCTGGGTATGCACCGACCCGGCGCAGGCCGCGGGACTCCGGCCTCCAGGGCCGGACCAGGCGGCCCGAGCCGGGGACCGTCGCGCAAGAAACGCGCGCGACCGGCTCCGCGGAATAGGGGCTAGACAGGAAAGGCGAGGCGGGGTCCGCTCCTGGGCCGCCGGGCTCGCAGACACTCTGCAGCCCTTCCCGACAGCGGCGACCAAGAGGGCAGGACAGTCCTTTCCGTCCAGCCCAAACCGCGAAAACGGCCAGTGTCCCACAGTCCCTGAGTTCCTGCACCACTAGGGCCCGCCCTCTAATCTCCAGCAGCCTATAGGAATAAGCCATCAACGAAAAAAAGTGAAAGAGACCAATCAAATTCCAAAGAGGCGGAGCAGCCCGCCGACCTCTTAAAGAAACAGCCAGGAGGCTGTGCGGAGACGAGACGGTGCTTCACCGAAGACAGAGGGCTGCATTTCTCACTCGGAAAGCTGGCGGAACCGAAGACTGGAAAGCTGAGGACAAGCCACCTCTTACTCTGAGCGCCTTCCAGCTGTGCTGCTGTCTGCGGACTAGCTGGCGGCAGGCGTGCTCCACCTCCGGTCGGGCCTCGGCCGGATCGTCGGGGCTGAGCCTCCGGGGACCGCCCCATCGCGTGTGGGCGCCTCGGGCGCCCTGCAGGGGTGACCTGGAGTTAGCAAGAGGGTAAGGCGGGCGGGCGGGGGACCCTCCCCGGCGCCACGCGCTCCCGCCGCGCGGCCGCCGCCTCCCAGCGCGCTGCTCGACGGGGTGCCGCCAGGGCCTCAGGCACTCTTCTTAATAAACCTGTAGGGCGGTCATTATAGGTCATTATAGTCTCGTTTTACAGTGCGACCTGAGGCTTGGAGAGGTCCAATAACTTGCCCAAAGCTGCGCAATGAGGAAGTGACACAGCCAGGACGCTTCTCCCCAACTCTAATTTCCATAATTCTTCAGGCCGCTTCCTCTGGAAAGCCCTCCCTGATTGCGCCTGTCTTACCCCCTGGCATTTATGCTGCATTCACCATACGAAAGCCGTGCGGGTCTCTGTTTTTGTCCCTTGGCTAGTTCCTGCTCCTGTCTCCAAGCCTGTCCCCCTGCCCGGCTGGCTTCTTGCCACATCACGTCCTCAAGAGGGTTTTGTGGGCACCCTCGCTGGAGCGGCTGTCCAGTCTCATATGCTTCCGAACACCTTAATTCTCGCCTGTTTTCATTTACCTGCCTCCCTGTCCAGTCTCCCCACCTATTATAGAATTGCAGCATCATGAGGACGAAGCCACGCTTGCCTATCCCCTGCAGCATCCTGAGGCTGACTCAGAGCCTGGTACAGACTGCAGGCACCCAGTTATTACAGGCACCCCAAGACTCACAGTCCATGACAGCACCACTGGGCTGGAATGAGAGTGGGCCCCATTCTCCCCCTTGCTCCTGCCCTAAAAACACAGGGAAATTGGGGAAGAAACCACCTTGTGATCCTCTGGGACTTCATCTGGGACTTTCCCATCCTGGACTGCATCCAAATGTGCATAGCCTAAGTTTCAGTTTCTGTATTCGCCAGAGAGGCTGGGCAATACCAGCCTGTGTGATCACAAATGACCACAGCCACAATGGGCATGGGGAATCCAGTGGCTCCTCAAGTTCCAGCTGAGAAGTTATACACATCACTCCCACTCACATTCAATTGGCCATGCTTCTAGCCTCCAGAGCGCAGGAAATTCCCACCTTACCACGTGCCAGGAAAAAGAAGTCACGGGACATGTGTGACCAGGCCTAAAACTACCCCTCTGTTTTTCTTTTTCTGCCTTTTGAGACTCAGGGATTTCTGCATTTTCTTCTCTTGAGTTTTGGACCTTATAACTAGGTTTCTGTGGGATTTTGTTGTATTTGTGAAATAACTAAGGGTATCTATTTCACCTCTCCCTTTAAGAACAGAGGCAATGGCTAATTCACTGCAGTGTCCACTGTACGCCTGACAGAGCATGACATCTGCAACCTTCAATGAATAGTAGCTTAATAAACAGAGCTCTGCCTCTCAGGTTCTTCATCGCCCTACAGCAGACTCAGGGGTGGCTATGGCTGACAGTAGGAGATGCTGCTACAGAACTGGGCTCCCTGATGGCCATGGGGATGATAGCAATTCCCAAATAACAGAGACCAGATAGTAGTGCTTAAGTGTGAGAAGCAGAGTGGGTGCAACTGTCATATGACCATCAAGGTTGAGCTCAATATATCACTGGGATAGACACCCTGCATAGTAAACAAAATACCTGCACTAGTTCCTTGGTCTATGGGCTGAGAGTGATAGTCGAGTGAAAGCCTCTGAGACCCCACTATCCACCACCCACCCCAGCCAAGAGAGCACATAAATAACATCACACACCAAAGAAAATGGTGGAGATTGGTGCCACCCTTGAAGATCAAAGGCATGTGTGGGAGGGTATCCCCCACCATATACCTATTCGATTCGTCAGTCTGACCTAGAAAAAAACACAAACAGGCCAGCACAGTGGCTCACACCTGTAACCCCAGCACTTTGGGAGGCCGATATGGGCAGATCATGAGGTCAGGAGATCGAGACCAACCTGGCCAACATGGTGAGACCCTATCTCTACTAAAAAATACATAAAATTAATGGGACGTGGTGGTGCTCACCTGGAGTCCTAGCTACTGAGGAATCTGAGGCAGGGGAATCGCTTGAACTCAGGAGGCGGAGGTTGCAGTGAGCTGAGATTGTGCCACTGTACTCCAGCCTGGTGACAGGAGACTCCATCTCAAAAAAAAAAAAAAAAAAAACAGAATGGCAATGGACTGTTGCAGATTCAGCCAAGTGGTAACCCCGACCACAGGTGCCATGCAGGTGTCATTGTCATTGCTAGCACAGACAGATCAGCACAGCCTCCGCTTCTCTGGATGTAGCCTTCCATCTGATCACCATGCTTTTTCATCCCTATCAGGGACAATTTGCATTCACAGGAAGGGACAACAGTACACACATATGGTCTTGCCCCAGGCCAATGGTACCTTTCCCATCCTTTGTCATCATAGAGTCTGAAGGGGACTGGGCCATCTGGATGTCTTGCAGAACACTGCACTGGTTCACCGTGTCAATGACAACGTGCTAATCAGGATAGATGAGCAGGAGGTGACAAGTAAATGGAAAATTTGATGAGATATATGTGCTACAGCAGGCCGAAGATTAAGCCCTACAAAGAAGTGGGGGCTTGCTACATCAGCGAGGTTTGTAGGGGTCTGGTGATCTGCGGCACACCAGAACATCCTCCCACACACCCCATCACAGGTGAGGAAGCACAATGCTTTGAAGCCTCTTTGGGTTCTGAAGGTCGCAGATTCCACACCTGCAAGTGCTGCTCTGACCTATATATCTCTGGGTCACATGATATCAAAGGCTGTCCCTGAGGCTATGGGACCCACAGACCCCATGATACTAGAGGCATACGTGGTGGGAAGACATGTTGTGTGAAGTTTACAGCAAGCTCTGGTGGCGAAACCACAATGTAGGCCCCCTAGGGTTCTGGAGCAAGACCAGGCCATTTATAGCAGAGAACTAGACACCATTCACAGAACAGGTCTGCCAGGCTACTGGACCCTGGTAGAGATGACTAGGGGACATCAAGTGACCATGAGGCCAGAGCTGCCTCTCGTGAACTGGGTTCTGTCAGGCCCACTAAGATGTAAATTCAGGTGGGCCAAGCAGCAGTCCGCTGTGAGACTAAGCAATCCATTGTAGATCCACCTCACCTACCACTGCCACAGCAGCTCCTCCCCCATAGTTCACACCCATGCCAATGGGCGGTTCTTAGGGAGGGAAAAGGCTGCGCTTGATCACAGCTGAGGGAAGGCTCATTACAGGGGTCAGATGTGGTACCTGGAGGTGCAGTGGTCACATGGAGCCCTTGAGGATGAAAGCCGCAGGCTACAAATGGTGGAACCAGAGGAGGGAGGAGACTTGTACTCCACAATGTCCTGAAGCAGCTGCCTCAGCGCTGTTTGCCTACTGATGCGAGAAGAGCAAACCCCAGCATGATGTGTCGTGGAACAAGTCCTCACTTCCTGAGCCTGTCCCAGGCTGCCTGAGTGTCTTCAGGACATGGCTGCTGCCTTCCCTCAGAGCGAGCAAAGCTGTAGTCATTTTGTAACTGAATCCTCAAAGTGACATCCAATCATGTCTGTCCTATGCTGTTGGGAGATCACACAGGGGTGTGCATACCAGAAGGCAAGAGCCATCGGGGCCATAATAGAGGCTGCCTACTCACCCCACTCCCACCAGTGTTTAAACATGCCCAAGAACCTCTCATCTGAGAAAAGGCCACATCCCACTCTAGCACCTGTGCCAGCTCTCACAGTCCATTCCACACCTGGGAATGCCTCTCTGACCCATACATTTCTGGGTGATGTAAGCACTCCAGCCTCTAACTAGTAACCCACATTCACCCTTCTCACTTCACTGCATCCTACCCCTCAACATGCTCCAATGTGGTGTCTGACTCCAGACATACCCACCATCGCCAGGGCCACCAACAGCTCCTAGTCCTTACCAGATGACCTCTGGACATTGACTGCTCTCTTCAGTGTCCTCTGGGAGGGCTCCCAATAATCCCCAGCCCTGCTATGACCTCCTCTCCTTGAGTGTGGGCTGGACCTCAGGGCTCATTTCTAGCTAAGAGAATATGACAAAATATCACTTTCAAGACATGGTGTTTGTCTTTTATGGCCTTTGTCTCTTTTTCACTTGCTCTGAAAGAAACCAGCTGCCAGGTTGTAAGCTGCCCTGTGGAGAGACCCCCACCCAAGAGCCATTGGGAAGCTGAGTCTTCAGTCCAACAGCCTATGAGGACCTGAATCCTTCCTATGTGAGGAAGCTTGGAAGGGGACCCTCCTCAAGATGAACCTTCAGATGAGACAACAGCCCTGGCCAGTACCTAGCCTACAGCCTTGAAAGACCTTTAGGAAGAGGCACCCAGTGGCATCATGCCCAGATCCCTGACCCACACACACTGAGATAATGTGTGCTAATTGCTTCAAGGTGCTAAATCCCAGGATAATTTTTTATGCAGCAATAGATAACTAACAAGCCCATGCAGAGTCTCCTCCATCTTTCCTCTTGGCAGCTCCTAGCATCCCAGGAGCATCCTTTATATCCTTTGTTGGTGTCTCTTAACTGGTGGGGTTTCCCAGGTTCCAGACTTAGACCTTTTCTTCTCTCTGCACTCACTCTGTATTATACAACCAATCCCAAGCCAATCTACAGCTGCAGTCCAAACTCCCCCTCAA